ACAGCTTCGCTGGTCTTCCTCCTTCACCAGAGTGAAAAGGCTGTTTTTTTCGTCTGCTGAGTACTTTTCGTCGTTGGCCAGCGCATGCGTGCCCCTGGGCACGGTGACCTTGGACGTTCTGTGTTAACGCCGCGCAGATGGACACGCAGCACCACGGGGTGAGCGGTCGTGGAAACTGACGAGCGCGGCGGCCCGTCGACGCGCGTCAGCCAATGGAACCGAAAGAAACTAGGTGCCGTTTTCGCGTTTCAAACTGACGACGTCAGTTCGCTCCATGAGACGGTTAATGCTTTCGCATTAAAAATGTATTTATGGTATTAGTTTTGCAGGAATTTTTTTTTGTGAAAAGGTGCTCTTGAGGAAAATCATCAAGTAAAATTGGTGTGGCTTAAATCACGATTGCATACATTTTGGTTTTTATTCTCTACCCCGAACTCAATGAATTCGAGGAAGAATTATTGCAGGATATCAATGCCTGCTCAATTCTGTAAAAAAACAAAAACAAAAAAAAGACGTGCAGTGGGTGCGCCTTTTAGAAGCAGGGAAGGTTTCTCGTCGGAGACCAGCATGCAGTGTGATTGAGAGATGTAAAACTATTTCCGAGAACAGCTAAATGACTATCTTAGGGTTTCCCCAGCCCTCATGCAACGTTACCCTCAACATATCAGCTCGAAGAACCAAAGTTCCATAGTGCGCGCTTCCACCGCCACTGCTTCGCACGCAAAAAGGCGCCGCAGGCTGCTGAACGCGTCTCATTGTCGAACGCCAGCTCCTCCGCTAGTGGCGCTACTCGCGTTTTGCAAAGCGTCCCCGATAGTGCCCGCACAAGCTTCAGGGCGCTGCCATCTTGCCTCTCTGGGGTGCGCTTGGACCAGTCATAATCCGATTACGAAGCCTTGCTAAGGCGTCGTAATCGGATTATGTGCTTGCAGAACTAAAGCTCAGATTGAACGGCCGGTTGATTCGAGTGGGTTCTAGGACATTTCGGTACGGGATGTTCCGGGACCGGACGTTTCGGTACGCAGTCGTTTAGGTACCGGGTATTTCGGTAGGCGCTAAGCCGTGTAGGTAAATTTTTAACTGATAAACTTTTGTTTTGGGGACTTATCAACACAAAAAGAATTCCGAGATCATAAACAAACAATAAACAATGTAAAAACAAAACAAAAAAAAACCACGAACTTATTTCTGTTACGTCGCGGCGCGGTGGTGGCGCGTCGGGCGCACTTCCGGTCTGGGGCTGTGGGCGGAACAGACAAAAACCTGCCTTCTCGTCAAAACGCCGCGACTGGGGCCGTACCAAAAGTGTCGAGAAAGGTTTGAAGGTCAGTTTTCACGCGCTCGGTTCGTCCGAGATCTGGATATGTGCCGTGAAAATGGGAAAGCAGACGCCTTCGGACAACGATTGCATGGGCGGGAAGCACTTTGGGTTGAATTCACGGATATTTATAGTCACCAGATTTATTTGTTTTGTTCCAACATGAACGCCAGAAAACCGCCAAGTTGTGCGGACCACCTGCGGACTATGTTTAGTGCGCCTTCAAGTTCAAACGGCCGCCTGATCGTTCGAACTGTCGTCTGCTCTTTCAAACGTTTCTGCTTGTCGTCTGCCTCCTTAGACGAGGCCGGCCTGTAGATTAATTATTGTGGGCCCGGTGCTTGCGATAAGAAGTAAGTGCAGGCCTCAAAAGACTTAAAGTTGAAGGTTGGTAAGCAGGCTCGATGTAAATAGTTGATACAAGTAGATGTTGATCATTGTTACCAGTAACCATCGCCGACTTGTTAGGCCTAATTCACTTGGTCCGACTCTGCTTGCGATTTTCAGTATCAACGTCGACTATCTCAGCTACGGTTCACGCTTTTGCAGCCCGAGCGGCGTCGCGACTGAAAATTTCGAGCGAAATCGCATCATGCGAATCAGGCTTTAGCGCACATACTGCGGCGTCCACGCGGAATGAATCGCCACATGTCTCATTATTCACGCGAAGTTTTGCGGTGTAACGAGCTTCGGTAATTTCGCTGACGCCGCTCAAGTAGGCAGACATGGCCAGGGAAGACGTATAGAATCAACAATTCGAACGCGAAAAAGGGGAGTATTGCTGACCCCCATCGCGCATGCGCGGTGCCGGTGGCGTCCGCTAGGGGCGCTCCGGTTTTGGAGCAATCAGAGCCGTATATTGGGAGAGTTTGGCCAGTGGGTGTGGCGACGAAGGCGCCGGAGAGGAGAAAAGTAAATAAAAGGGAGGAGAGCGCCGAAGAAGCGAGGGAGAAAGAAGGGAGCAGGAGAGGAGACGACCGCCATTTTTTAGCAACGCCGTCGAAGACTGGTCGGAGAAGAGCACTGCTGAGGCTACGCGTCGTCTGCTACGGGCCGACTTCTTTTTCGCCTGAATAAAAGTTTGTGGCCATACGCCGAAAAATCTTCATTTATTAGCTTTTTAAGCCACTGAGGAATAACAAAATGTTATTTTCTTGCCAAAGCCAGCGATATAAAAGGCAATAATCGAGATTTAGATGCCGATTCCACGCATTCCGCCGGGAGAATGATTGAAGATGGCGGCCCTCACCACTCAGCTGGGAGCAGCCGGGAGTTCACGCGCATGCGCCCATGCCTCTCGATCTGCGCCGCGTGCTGATTGGCTCACTCGGGAGGAGAGCGTTACGGCGGCGAGATCATAGACTGACCAAACTCTCCCCATATACGGCTCTGGGAGCAATGGGCACGAAAGGTTTTCAGCTATTTATACATGAGGAGTGTAGACACAAAGTGGAGACAGCGCACTAGGAAATTAAGAGGAAAGTTTTCGAAGATACAGAAGAGCAAGTCTCATTTAAGAAGAAAGTTAAGGCCACAGAAAGAGATCGGTGGCTAGAGGGAATGCAGACAAAGACGGCTCTGGAGAGCTATAGATTAAACAAAACAGTTATTGCCAAAGAAAGCATTTATGACAATTCTAGGGGAAGCTCATTGCTGTTTGAGGCGAGGACGGGTGTTCTGCGAACCAGAACATACAGAGTAAAGTACCAGGAAATGGATACAGTGTGCACTGCTTGTGGAGAGGAGGACGAGACGGCTGAGCACTTGATACTCTACTGTAAAGGGCTTCACCCTATGCCTACCGAAGACAACATAGATTTAATAAAGTCATTGGGTTTTAGAGACAGCGAAGGGAGAGTGGATTTCAAGACTGTAGAGATTACCAAGCAAAGATTAAGTGAATGGTGGCAGAAATCGAGAGAAAACTAGGCATTTGCTTATTCACTGATGGCAAGGGGGTTTCATAGCCTCAATTTCTTTGCACTGCGGAGGGAATATAGATTTCACATTTAAATAGTTTAAATGGTAAAACAAAATGGCTAGGTGGCGTAAGCTACTGCCCGATCCAAAGGGCTCAGCCGTATTTATCCATCCATCCATCCAAACATGAGTTGGTGTATAGTTTGCCCTTCATAGAGGTGTACTCGTCTACGCCTGCGTGGTGAAAGCGTGTTTCTTACTTTCTTTTGGTTCGTCAAAATTTTACCGATTAAAATAATTAAGCGCGACTAAAGCTTTAATCAATTATACGGTAGGTTAATCAATCAATTTACCACCCCTAAAAAGGAAAAAAAAGTGTTTGTATTAATAACAAAATAAAACAGGATCATCTGTGTGGTTCCGAAGAAAGTAGCAGCATTCGCGGGTAGTCCATCAAGGGTTGTTTCGAGTTAACACAGAATAAAACCGTACATACATATTTTCTTCGTTTCTTTTTTTTTTTTTTTTTTCTTCGTGGACAGCTCACATTCGGGGCGTTTCCTGTTTTCTTTGACTTTGATAAAACCGACTCGGGGGTTAATTTTCGGGGTTTATCGATATTTCCCCAAAACATGGAACCTTTATTATTTACTTGGTTTCAATAAACCTTCAGTCGTCAGTGCGCTCAGTGTTGTGTACCTTCTTGTCCTAGTCCTATGGCGGTTTTCAAACTTAAGCCAATTTGCCCAGATAACCTTGAACTTGTACACATAATCACATACACAGTCATGCAATCAATAGCCAAAACCAACAGGAATTATTCCTCGACGCTCGCGGCTCACCACAGCATGTGACGTCCATGGCCAGTATGGCGGCGCTTGGCAGCAGAAAAACATGGCTGAACTTGGGGCAACACCCCTAGGCGAGACAGTTACCGTCACTACCGTCAAGGCTCCTAGACGGGCATTACAAACGAGGCATTAGCGACATCAACCAGGTGCTCTTTGCTAATCGTTTGTTTTAAAATTCCTTTTCGTGTCTTTTTCAACAAGAGATCAGTGTGTCTGATTATATGAACAGTTGCAATTAAAATAATCTAATTTTACTGAAGTTAATAACTTAACTTTTTGCACTGTATTAACTGAAATAACCAATGAGTGCTGCCCTTAATTCATCCCCTAGCCATCACCATCCAATTTCAAGCCTACTGGTCAGCCTGTCGCCCATGCGCATAGCAGTCGAACCTGAGTCAAACTTTTCACAAGATGTTAGAAAAAGTCGAACCTGATCAAACTCAAACCTCGACCGGTTCGCGACACCCCTAGTTGAAGATACTCCTAAGCTGAGGATTCAAGGCCAATACATTCGAGACATTAGCCCGATGCGAAGCAGGAATCGAATGCAAGAGCTGCGTAAGCATTCATTTCTATAACTCGGGCCCAGTCAATCTGCTAGTAGCACAGAAACAACTTCCAAGCCCCTTGATGTATAGAACTTTATCAAGGAGTCTATCTGGGTTGGCGCTTCGTTCTGACTGGTTGCCTCTTTGTGGCCATCGACATTGAAAGAGATGATCGGGAAAGAGCTGTACAGTGAAGAGCAGTCTCATTTGCTGTTGACTTGCAAAAGTGACGGTGCCCGATCAAATGATTGCAGGCTACACATTCATTGCCGCCATTAGTATGGCAAAAGATAAACCACTATTTCAGCCACCAGATGGCACTGAATTTCGGAAAGGGTCTATTGAAGGCTATATACACACTTCCAGAATTGCCACATTTTATTTTGGTCAAATTCTTCACAATTTCACGCTGCACTTACGTGAAACAAAATGGCCAGAACATTGAGACGTTTATTTTGTAAACAAAGGTGCACATAGAAACGAAACATACCCAACCAAGGAAGCATTGTCACGAAAGTTTCGCTGTTAAATACAAAATAACCCATTTGTGAACCGCGCATCCCCAAGGCATGCGTTACACTGCCACAGCACATCCCATTCTCATCCTGTACAGCCTTTCAAAGCTTTCGACTTATACTGGAGACACTCATATTAAACCTAGTTATATTAGCGTATGAATCTTATTAGGGAAAGACACACGCGCAGATGCATATATAAAAATGAAATACTTTCGGGATTTCTTTCGACAACGACTCAATGAAACTCTGCGAGTTTGTTCCAGAGTGCCAATTTGTACCTCCAACCAGAAAGGATGGGCCCCGCAGTCCAAGGTCAAACGCAAAGATGACTGGGACCAAAGTTTTACGTCGGTCGAAGCGTATAAGTAACCTAGCCGACCCTATTGCCCCGCGGCGTTTCGCATCCGTAATACCACGGGAACCGAAGTGCAGGGAAGAATGCCCTTTTCCGTTATGACCATGTCCACGAACTGTGGCGGTGTGACATCGTACATCAAGTTTAGTAGCGTCAGGGAAGGCGAGTCCTTCAGGTCGTCCACCTTGATGTCCGGAGGCAGACTTGTAAGAAGTTCAGCTGTTGCTCCTGCGAGACAGCGAGTGTCGCAACTTTAAAAGCGAAAATTCAGGTCACTGATTTGCTTCAAAATTGGTTCGACACATTAATAGACACATCTGAACTAATGTTGCAAGCCTCATTGATTTTCTTCTCGCTAAGTCGTTGAAGTTTTAAATTTGGTCCGAGAGGCTCTACTGGCAAAGCTAAAAATGTGATGCCAGTTGTTGTGATATCGGGCGATATGGGGGCATTACTGCTTGTTCCCGACGGTTTACAAGTCTAATGGTGTGAAATGAATGCTGGTTAAATTCACGCCAGCGAAACGAAAACAAACAAACAAAACAGACATGCCCAATATATTGTTTTTTAGACTGACTGCTCGACTTGAGTTATGCAATATGCGACGTTGCCCTGCTGGAGAGCACAGGAAGATCTGAATGTTGGTTTTTATCACCCTTGTTTGCTGTTTTCTTAACAATTATTTTCAATATAGAGATAATGAATAGCAAGTCGAAAAGAGTAGAGCCTGAATTTTCCGTAAATGTGCTTAGTTTGAGTAGCTCAAAAACTGCCAAAGCTCCCCTTTATAACAACCCCATTTGTTTACTTTCAGAGGCTGCCAAACAGCATGATGTCTAAGCTAAAGCATCTTCCACAAATGAAGACAGAGGATGAAATATGAAGCAGAAAATCTGGCTGCTTCATTAAATAAACCAAATAAATGAAGCCAAAGTGTGCGCAGTCTAGAAAAAAAAAATAGGGCCATTTTTGAGAGGTATGTTGCATAAATTTCCAGACTCACCAAGTTCGTTTGACACGAAGGAGTCTGTATGGACTCTTTCGGAAAACTTGTAGGTCTCGCAGCAGACCAACACGGGCACGTTTTTGGCCTTCGCCACAAGGGCTATCTGAGAGGTGCCAATCCGGGACATGACGTAGCCGTTGGCCAGCAGTGAGTGGGCGCCAAGCATCACCTTTGTAACCTGTGACCAAACAAATGCCAATCCATAGGGTTGTGCAAGTCTTCTAATAACAGTTTAGAATAAGACACTATTCAATATTCGCTTCAGATGAACTGCGACATACAGTTTTTCTAAAAGTGTTGATTGCAGTCGGTTAGTTTTGTTGAGCCCAGTCTTACCAAGCATTGATGCACTCTGGAGAAGCGACACTCGCGGAGCTCACTTTCACAGGTGCTACTTCTCTGCAAGGCACCAGTGCTCAATCAGAAGCGTGCTCAACGGGGTTAGTTCCCACCGCAATCAACACATCCAAAGCCACAAATATTGAAGTCATCTGCTTATGAGGAAAGCACACTTTCAAAGTTTGATGGTGTACGCACACACCTGGTGTATTTAAAAAGAAACAAACTTTGTGAATATGAACACTATAGTAAAATTTTAAAAATTAAACTTTGGCTTTTATGCAAGAGTATACAGTAAACTCTCCCTTGAGTGAACGTCGGTTTAACGAATATTTCAAAATAACAAACTTTAAAAAAGGAAACCAGCGGTTTTTTTATGCATTGTATGCAAAAATATTTCAGGGAAACGAATTAATGAATTTCGGAATAGCGAATATTCAGTTCAACGAACTTGATCGGTGAACCCAGGTTTATTTTTGCAATCAACTCAACGAAGTTTTGTGCCCTGCAGTGCTGGCATAGCCGATGCCCGCTGCCTTGCCGCCATTCTTTGTCATCTGTTTCGTTCGGCCATTTTAGTTTTGGGTAACAACAGCAGGACAGCAGTTTGTGCACCCACTTTCATAATGAATATGACGAAACCGAAGCGGTTGTTTTTATCAGACAAGCTCCAAATCTTTCAGTGTCTAGACAATAGGCAAAGGCAAGTGGACGTTGCGAAGGACTATGGGATTCCACCGTCGACGTTGTCAATGATAGAGAAGCAAAAGTCGAAAGTTGAAGAAGAAACTGCGTTCAACCCCAACAGGAAACTACTCTGCACGGGATATTTCAAGCCAGTGGACGATGCCGTTGCAGTGTGGCTTTGTCACAGCAACAAGCTGTGCCAGAGGAAGTGCAAAAAAAATAGACTCTCCCGACAGCTTTGTTACTTCATGCGCTTTAAAGGGACACGACACCCCCCCAAAATTTTTTCTCCTTTTTTGTCAGGCAATTCATTATGGTATCGGAATACTACCCAATTAATATTTTGCTGCAGAGTCACATCTTTTTTTAATAATGCCAAAAAACACAACTGCTTGAAACCGAAACTCCCGCACCCCACGGAGAAGTGGAGAGGATAGAGTGAGTGGCGGAAGTCACGTGGCTAAACCCAACCGTGTGGGTTTTTTAATTTTTTTTCTTTCTACGCACGTAGCAGACAAATTGCGTTCCTTCGCCGTGCGATTCCTTTGCAGTTATGTTTGCTCCGCTTGCTGTTCTGTACTTCAAGATGAGTTGTTTTGTACATCTAAGTGTTGGCAATTAGTAGCGAATGCTCGTGGTGAATTCCCGTGATCGGCGCCAAAAAGAATTCTCCCCAAGCTGTTGCGTGAAGAGATGCCTCACATGTCCTGCATCTGAAAGTGGCATTGTGCGGCACAGTGCACAAGCTTAAGCGGACGCTACCCGATTCTTATGCTCCTTGCATTTTGTGGAAAGTGACTACATTGAGTTCGCAGGTGTCATAAATGGAATCCTATACCATTTAGTTCAGCGACGTATCGTCCACAACAATTGCTTTTTTTTTTTTCAGTGATAATTGTAAAAAAAAAGAAATGTAAAGATCGCAAAATGCTTGACAAAAAAAAAAAAAAAGGTACACCCACACCAGGCATTGAACCCGTGCCCTCTGCGTGTGAAGCGGACGTCTTTTTCACTGAGCTACTGAAGGAATTCTTTCATGCGTAGTAATGAAGCAGGTCGACTGTATGTCGAAAGTTTGCTGCCGATTTCTCTTCAATACATGCACTCCCGGCTTGAAGTCGGGCAGCACCACGCATTGGCCACATTCGCACCAAGTAAAGAAACCGTACGCGTGCGTATTCAACTCTTAGTACGCACTTCGTGCTTGATGTTTGAGCAAGCGATGTTTTCAGCTTCGAGAAGGGACGACGACTCGGCGACCTCTTCGTGCAATCGGCTTGCTGGTCGGGCGTGTCGTACGGGATGAGTATCAGTTCTTTTGATCAGTCCAAAATTTCTCTTTCGAAGGAAGACAGAATTCGCCGGTACCGTGAACGACAGTTCTGAAGTAGAGGTCCAATGCCCGTCGCCTGCTGCCATCCGCTAGTCCCACGATACGCGAAACGACGCCATGTTGAGAATTATGCAGTGAACGCACAGAATGCTTCGGGTTGTCTGTGCTACCTTTTTTTTTTTTCAATCAACGTATTTGCAGCCTTTTAGAAGCCAAAAAAATGGGTTTCATATTTTTTTCTATTTTTAAAATTGTCTCTGTGCCTTCAATGATCCACGACTTTGATTAAATTTGGTGGTTGCGTCGAAACCTTAGAGAACGGCCCGTGACCACGGAAAAGAGAGTGAGCGCGACTCAAACCGGCCAGTTCTCGATCGGCGGTTTTCGGGCGAAAACAAACCGAATTTCGAGCCGCAAATTCTGTTCTGGGTAGTTGGGCTCTCATACGTCACGTACAACTAAAAACCTCGGCGAGCATAAATACCCTGTCAGTGTCCCTTTAAGAGAGCCAGTGCAAATGAAAATTGGATTTTTTTTTTTTTTTCAAAATGAGAAAGGCAGCAACGTAACTGTCACGCATTTTGTATTTATCGATGTACATGACTCCATAAATTGCATTTCACACTTTTGACTCGATGTATGCTGTGCCCTATGCATCTCCATACTCTAGTAATATATTCAGTTTAGTGAACTTTCAGTTCAGCAAACTATTTCCTTGGGTCCCTTAAAGTTCGTTCAATCGAGAGTTTGCAGTATATTAGGCAGAGATATCATGACAACTTGTGTTTGTCATTCATGATTTTTTTTTTTTTTCTTTTCTCAAATTCGAGATGTAAGAAAAGATGTTTGAATACAGCAAGAGGATTTATATAAATTCCCTTGATTTGGTATAGCTGGGGAATTTTTATAGGTTTAATTTTGTGCCAAATGTGTTGTTTACTTACCATCTTAATGTAGGCACTGTCTATCAGAGGCCACAGCCCCTAAATATAGTTATGATTAAAACTAACTTAGGTGAGAAATGAAGAAGTGGAATCCTGGGAACAACCTTCTTAAATTCAGCTCAGTTTTTGTTTAGGCATGGTGCAGTAGTGAAAGAATTAAATAAACTATTCAATTAAAAAATATTTGGCCAAAACCACTATTTGCTTCGAACTCAAAATCTACTTCTCCCATATGACTACTAATTTGTCATTCTTGCAGCAATCTCTGTCCGTTTTAAGCATATAAAGTGTTTAATGCCGTTTTGTTATTGTCCAGCTTAAGTGACATCTGACAGCTTTGCTTCATCAAAGATAATTAATTTACAACTTTAATATTATACTCAGAAGAGATAGATAAAAATCTAAACATTAAAATATTGATCTAGTGAGATACCTGAGTTTTGCTTCACAAATGATAATTGATTGACGACTTTAATACTCAGAACAGATTGTGAATACTCTAAGCAGTTGAATATTCCTGTAGCCAACTCAGTGTTCTATTCAGGTAGTTGTACTAAATGTATCAGAGACCTTCGAAGATTTTCCACATTTGCTAGGAGACTGCTCCGTGGAGTGCGCCTGCCCTGTGGCCCTTATGCATGGTGGCAAAACAACACCTGTAGAAGAGGTGCCCTGAGTGCGCTGTTCTGCAGCATGCTTGCATACTGCCGGAACGCAACAAATTAAGCCCGTCATTCGTTATGATCCCCTAGGCACATATTGTAGACATGCATCTTGAAAACATTGCAGTTTTATTCTTGCACATAACTGAGGCCTTTTCGAAAAGGGTTAACTTCGAGTACATTACAAAATCTTCTACATTTCATTGGTCCTGCGCTTTCACTTTTTCATAATTTCTATCTTCCTCACACAAATGTTTATTGAGTCCTTAGGGTAGCACCTACAGCATGCTGGGCCCTTTTCTTATTAAAACAAAGAAAAAAAAAGGCAGACTCACCTCCCTCATGATGTAAGACACAGCATTAATCAAGATGTATGTGCAGTTGATTCCTAGTCCAGAGAGGTAATCACACATTTCACGGCCTGAAGAAAAAACAAGGAAAAACCATGTAAAACAGCACCAACCTCAGCATAATATAACATTATACTAATATATAATTTCCATTTGAAAAAGTAGCAGAGCATAATTTTATCTCCGATAAAGCAACATCTACAAAACTTCAGGCAAAACACTTGTCTGTGTAGGCTGAGTTTGCTATCCTGCTCATCTGGTTGAACTGCAATGCCTGTGAGATTAACATCAGGCCATGAAATCATGCAACACCAAAGCATCAAGAACTATTTCTCCATGTCAGTTTTTGATCTAACTTTTGAAACGTATGAATCCTCCCACTGGTACAGGACTATAAGTATTTATAAGCCAACCTGCTTTGAAGGCTGGAGTTTACGAAGGGTAGCTACTGCTGGCACCTGCAGATGGGCAACTAGTCATGCAATATGTTTGTTCTTCGTTTAAGGCTGTTGAAAGATCCAAACGAAATTGAGAACTAGTTGCTCAGCTCACTTCTTTCCAAAGACATTAGGTTAGTTTGATATATCCAGATGAATGCTGAAGGCTGCTGCACAATTTGAAATTTCCACTTCTGCTGAATTCTTATTCTTCCACATCCCCTCTGTTTTGTCTGCCACCCCCCCTCCCCTTCCCTTCCCACGATTGCAATCCCCTTCTCTTCGAGCAAAGAGGATATGCTGCCATAACTTCCTTCTCCTTCCCAGTCTCCTCTCCTTTTTTTTTTCCTTCGATACCAACACAGTTCGGAAAAGCAGAAAAAATGAAGGATCTTCTACACTGTACAGTGGCAATCAGACTTTTCTATAACACACCAAAGGGCATTTTTCCCGGGCAAGCACTAGGCTGACGGAGCTAATCTAGTCACATGAGGTAAGATAGAATGATTGTGTCCAACAGCAGGTCGCCATCGAACGTGGGGGCTGCTTGCTTGTACTATGCAAAATGCTTTGATAAAAAAATGCAGGTAACCCTGCTGCAATGAAACACACACACAAACAAATGAGAATGACAGTGTATCAAAGGTGTCAGCATCAAGAAAAAAATAAGATAATATTGCGTTGCTTTCCAAATCGTTAGCATATCTTGCAATAAGTCGCTGTAGGCTTTGCTACTGTGCGATAAATAGAAAAACATAAATAGGGGCAAATCAAACACTTTCCCGTTTGCAGTAATATGATTGGTCTAAGCCATTTTGGAGCACCTTTCGGAGCAGCGTAAACAGTGTTTTGGAGCAGCAAATGTGGCCTTTGGAGCAGCCAAAACAGTGTTTTGGAGCAGCAAATGTGGCCTTTGGAGCAACCAAAACAGTGTTTTGGAGCGGTAAAGGTGGCTTTTGGAGCAGCCAAGACAGTGTTTCAGAGCAGCAAAAGTGGCTTTTGGAGCAGATATTCTTAGAAAAATAAAAATATTCGTTTGAAGTGCTGTACAAATGAAGGGCACTTTGTGTTGGGACTTGTGTTGTGTTCTGATGTGACGTGTTGTGACGTAACTATCTGCTTGTGTTTTTACTGCCGAGACATTTCGCAACCGTACAGTGCTGTAGCCGTTGCCGAGCAATTCCGAAAAACCACTTTCCACCGTTTTACTGGTTCCCAATGTACCAGATTTTCGTCAAAAGTAGGCGAATGTAAAACAATGAATTGAAAGCGTCCCGGCTGGTGCCTCTGTCGTGCAATCATATTCGCAAGCACGTGAGGGCAACTTCAGCAGGCTGACAGTTACGCGTGCTTCGCCGCGCGAGCGGAGACAACGGCTGTTCGATCGAAACCGAAACCATGTCACTTCACTCCGCCGCCAACTCCAGCATACGGCGAAAAACAGTCCAACGGCGCATGCTAATCAGGCAGGTGAACAATGTACAAGCTAAAGACAAAAGAAGCAAAAAAGAATGTGAGCGCATCGATGCAAGACATCGCAAGCCAGGGCCAAAAAGTTCTTGGAGTGCTTTGTGCAACGACTGAACTCGAGACAAACAAGCACGCTGTGTGGGTTCAGCTTGCAGACAATGCCTCGTTTGATTTAGCTCACTTCTCTTCACCAACTTTTTTTATCGCGGCAGATTTTTCACGCACCGGGGTCCCTCTCGAAAGACAGCCCACCAAGAGAAACCTAGGTAATCAATACTTCGAGAGCCGTCTTTGAGTTAAAGAGGGATTTTTGCTGTAACGTATGATTTAAACAAGAACAGGAATGTTGATGAATATGCGGTGGCACTTAGTATCATTTTAAAAAGCGCCAAATCTACAGCGACGTGGGGACAGCAACACCTGACGTCGCGCTACCACGGTGCCCACGGCTCTTGCCTTCAGGAGTGAGTGCTTCAGCTCAGAAAGTAACTCCCGCCGCTCAAAAAAGTGGTTTCGTTTCACAGCATGGCGGCATGGCTGGTACCCGGTACGCTATTAGCGATGTGCGCGGCCAAAAGCGTCGCTGTGGTCAGCTTTCCACCATTGGCCAAACCATGGGCATATGAGCACTGTCAGATTGTCAACTTTGACGGTGTTAGTTTCGGATTGCGATGGCTCCTAGCTTCCACTGTGCTTTTTAAACACACCATCGAACTTGTCGTTGCACCCGATGGTAAGTAGCCAGAATAACAACTGGTGATGTCACGGCGAGGCAAATCCCAGTCGTAACGTCATTGAGGGAAACCATAAAAGGGCACCACCGAAACATCTTGGTGCTAATCAAGAGCGTCCGCCATCCCCTTGTCTACCGTTGAAAATATTTTAAAAAAAGCATGAGACGAGACCCACGAGACGACGAGCGCGCGAAACGCGAGACGGCGGGAACACCATGCAGGACCGGAGGGACAACTGATGCAGGGTACTACTTTGTGTCAGTCGGCCGCTTGCGCCACATAACACACGCATGCTCAATTACGGTACTCAGTTTAGTTTCGGTCTTGAAAGGCGACTGAAATTAGCTTTTTGGCGCAGGCTTGGCGCAGATTACCTATATTTTGGCAAAATGTAGCAGGATAGAGCAGGGTTAGCCCCTTGGCGCAATTGGCGAAGCAATCACATCACTGCGTTTGTGCAGAAGCAAAACATGTTTGTGTGACTGAAAAACAAAGAGGTCACATGCAAACAAAATCATGTAGTACATATGAAAAAAAATAGTGTGCAGCCAGTATGTGAAGCAAAGGAATGCAAAGTTTGGTATGAGGCCAATTTTTTCACCACATGTGGTGTAGATGTAGAAAGCATCAGGAGAAAAACACCACTTACCTTCAAGCTTTGGCCGACTGTCGGCAATGACCACGCGGAAATTTGTTCCTGACTCATGGGCAGTTTTGAGCACACTTTTAACCAAGGAAGAGCTGTAAAGATTGTAAGGAAAGATCACTTACACATGCAACTACACAAAATACAATACAACATACAAACAATATAAAGTTAACTTTTCACCAAAAGTATACCACTGCAGTAAACGAAAGCAGAAGTGCAGCTTGACCAGGCTCTGGACCTCACCCCTTATCTCCCTCTATGCTGACAATACAGAATACAAAACAGAATACAGCACAAATGTATGCAAAGAGAGGTGCTACACACAACATATGAAAACAAAGTGCACACAAAGTCAAACAAAACAACCTGCTTAAAAACACAAAAGGCTATCTGCCGTAATATCCTGAGAGATAGCCTACTTCAAACAAAAAAGCAAATTGGTAGGGGTGTGCGAATACCCAAATATATGAATACAACTTGAATAGCAAGTTCCCGAATAATTGGATTCACGAATCAAATTCTTAATATTTGGTCACTCAAATATTCAATATATTAGGTGAAAGACATGTGGTCGGTGCTGAGCTGACAAAAGAGCCGTTTTTTTTCTCCCTTATAGCAAGCATGCAGAGTTAATCACGATTGTAACACAATCTTCAATCACAACCATAACATCCTGTTTGCGCTCTTTGCAGGTACGAATTGTTGGGAGACCAGAGTTCCATGCCACGCCTAACTTTGTTCACAAGTAAAACCCCCTTTTTTCAAATTGAAGCATAGATGTAGAACACACTTGGCACACTCACAGAAATGGGTAACTGCAGGATCACAAAAAGAAAACCATGTTAAACTGGTTAAACACGCCGATAAAACCAGCCGAGCTGTCCTCGTCATTTTGTAACCGCAAGCCACAACTTCAGATTCGGAATGAAACAGAGCGGAAAAAGAATAGTGTGCTTAGATTTGAGAGTGTTTCCAACTGTTTGATAGCCGTGTTCAATATACGAACTGTGACAAGGTGACAAAAGGATGAAAACGTCGATTGCGTGCGGGCGTCGTTGCTCTTCTTTTCCCTTTCCTTCTCTCCACACGCCAACGCAACGCATGTGCACTCGTGACCAATCTACGCAGGAGCCGTCTCCGTGGTTTCAGTTTCACTTGCTTCCTCTTTTAAATCTAAGTCCTCTAAAAAAGGATAGATAGACGGAGAAATGGATGCATAGTGGCTGTTGGATGGTGACTTGTGCCACTAACCATGTTTTTTTTTATTTCAGATTAAATATTGCTTAAGCCCCGGTTTGATCAGATTTAACCCTTATTCGTTTGTTTGCATAAAATAAAATCACACGTGTCCTTTTTTTGTGTTTAAAATTGGGACCAAACATTGTGGCATGCCCCTTTTTTGAAGTATACAGATATAAAAAAAAAAGGGCGTGTTGCGGTGTTGGGTCGTGCTTTTTGACAAGAAAAACAAGCCACGCATAACTGGAATTTGTTTTTTATGACGCTTAGTGCAGTGTATTATGTGCGTGTTTGCCACATATTCGCATTTCCAGCTCGTTGCACGCCCTCCCGCAGCAGAAATAGGAAGCGCTCTATTGAAGGCATGGCCTCTGAGATCCCGAAGGTGAGGCTCCCCTGGTTCTCCTGCTCAGCGGGCATGGTGGAACTGCTCCCGATCATGGCTCGCGAAATGTCATTTGCGAATGCAAACAACATTCTTCACTGTCCCAATGTAGTGCTGCAGTCGATATGGGACCGTACCTTATTAGAGAGTCTTAGTATTGTGCATAGAGGCAAGCACTTTGCATTTGCGCTGTTGCATGCTCCGCGCTGTGCATGCGCGTCATTGCCATACTCCAATTTAAGACCGCAATTTTGGGCATGCGAAGTGTGGAACATGCAACGCTAACTAAAACACACTTGCGTTCACTCGTATACACAGTACTAAAACCGGTCTTTCACCGGTTTCTAACACCAACGAAACATGCTGCAGTAAGCAGACGCGCAAGAGGGTAGGCATTCCTTCGAACTGGAAAGGCTGAAGGTTGAAATTGGCAAAACAACAGTGCGTAATAATTAAATAAAATAAATGCACTAAAAAATTCAGTAATAAAAAAAAAACTAGAACGGAAATTTTTTTGGGGGTTGGGGGATTTGTTTGGAAGGATTGGCGGCAACTTTGGAAGTTGTGTTGATTGTCAAAAGTCGCAATGTTGATGGCACCATTTACTTTACTCACAATTAATGTAATATTATTTGAATTTCTCAGATTAGATAGAATGTCTTAGTTGATTTTAGACGTTTTATTTTATAACTTGTTAATTAAAAATGCTGCAATCTGCACCATCCACGATTATTTGCTCAATTTTGGTTGCCATACTGGTTTGTGCATTTGAGATTAGGTCATAAGTAACGAATTTTTATAGAGTTAAAAAAACTATGTATTAAAATATCTTAATTGTACTATTATTATTAATACAAAATGCGGCAATGTAGGCCCTCAATAAGCGTCACGAACAAAAAAATGTGACATTTAACCGTAACAGTCTTTCTAGAAAGGTTTAATTTTGTTTTCTTTTTAGCATTTGAAAACTCTGACACCATTATTAAGATAGACAAACAGTCAAACACTGAACGATAGTCCTGTGCATCACGCATTGCTTTAAAAAACACAAACTTCTGCTGTTTGGCTCGGCCCCCGTCCTTGGGGTTTTGAGGTTTCTTACTTTATATGTTTTGTAAGCATAATCTAAACTCATCAACTGTGGCAATATTTTGGATGGATTCTGTTATTCTTTACTGGGAATATGTTAAACCAATTAACCCATTAAAAGGCCCGTAGTTCATTATTTCATGTGACAATTATCTGAGCGAGAAAAGGCAGGAAGAACACACAAATATCAGTGCTGATTTTTTCAACAAATACAATATTATATGCTATCTCTAAGGTGTATGAAAGACACTGTCTTTAAAAAGACACTCAATTCTCCAAAATATTTTGAAGTGCCTGGATTGGACACATATGTCACAGAACAAAGTTTCTGCGAATAGCTTCTTCAGTTCAATATTTATGTTGCAAGACACATCTTTAGTTATGAAAGAATCCTAAATTAACACCAATACCAAAGCAAAATCTAAATAGAAGTTAGTTTTGGTTTCGTTCTGGAATTAAAACGTGCCTCCTGGCGTAAATATTACGCTAGATATCGGTTTTGTTTTCAGCATATTGAGGTGAACTGCGCTGATAACTCCCTAGCTTCCTCATATGTGCAGGAATAATTTGCTTGGCTCAGTGAAGCCAGCACACTAGACAGGCTCAAAAACAGGTATACTGGAACGCATCTCCGACCCGCACTAAAACTGCCACTTTGGAAAAGGAGTGGCACCACCTTTAGTGGAGTCGCGAATTGTCACAAATGACAATTGATAAGGAGACGAAAACTGGAGCGATCTAAATGTTTAATGGGGCGAACTTGTGCCCAAAAGAAAGAAAGACAAGCATTGCAGGCATCGATGGCGGCGCAACATTTACAAAAATAACAAAAGGTACTTTTGCTGCCAGGAATCGAACTGTGGCCCTTTTGCGCGGGAGCCAAGCACGACAACTTTTCGGCCACTGACTGATTGAGCCCAAACAACAGAGAATGTAAAAGGAGACACCTGCAGGGGAGAGCCCAGTGGGAGCCACGAAGAAGCACGGGACGCCTGGAAGCCACAGACTAGGCACGGTCGCAGAAAAGACACTTGTTGTAACGTCAACTGATTGTAACCTAAACAGATAAATAAATATATCCTTGCATTATCCCAAATTAACCAGTACATCACAATGGTGATCCCATCCTTGTCACCATTGTGACGTACCAGTTAGTTTGGGATAATGCAAGGATATATTTATTTAACTGTTTAGGTTACAATCGGTTGACGTTACAAGATGCGATTGATGTTACGAGAAGGTCTTTTCAGGTCTGCGACCACGCCCGGTCTGTGGCTTCCAGGCGTCCCGTGCTTCTCCGTGGCTGGCCACTCCACTCTCTCCTGCTGGTGTCCCTGGTTGCGTCCGCCATTGTTTGGGCTCAATACGTCGTGTTTGTTATACCTGGCGAATATGCACATAATACACAACAATTCTCACAAAGCTTTCTACCGCACCATTCATGGTGTCACTGTGGGATGGTTCGGGGGGCGGTGAGAATGACTGCTGCACTCCGTTTCTTGTCATGAAATTTCGATATTCGTTTGATCAGAATTGCGGGCCATAGCCTGTGACAATCCGTTCTATCAGCCCATAATTTGCAAAAAGTGTTAGAAATACTCTTACTGGCTGCTGAAGTCGTTGAGGTCATGGGCACTACCTCAGACCATTTCAAGTATGCACCAATGATCAGCAAGTAATTCCTTCCTTGAAAGGGTCCTGCAAAATCTGCATGCAGGCGTTGCCATTTCTTTTTTGGGTATTGCCACAGGTGTACGGGAACTTTGGGTACCTCGTTGCTCACTTCCTGGCACGGTTGACAACTTCGGACCATCGTTTCAACGTCATGGTGCAAAAACGACCACCACACATAGTGTCATGCCAGTCCCTTCATCTTTGTCATTCCCACGTGGGCTTGATGCAAGTCGTTCAAAACTTGTTTTTGGTATGTTGAGGGTACGATGACTCATGTTCTCCACATTAAGCAGTCGAGCATTTAAGCGACGCGTGTTCTTTTCGTCACTCACCCGCGAACAAGGGACCGAACTGGTCGCAAAACGTTGGGTGAATGTTCATTAAATTGTTGGTTAGAGTCCCTATTTTTCACTTCACAGTGAGTTCCGTTCTGCGACGGAAGTAAGGCTTGAGGTCATCGGAATTTACTTGTTCCAGCCATCGTTCCATGGCGAGTCTTAGAACCTTAGACAACACGGTGTTCTTTTGTGTCTCTCTGCTCATCTTCTTATGTGTCAGTGGGAGTACTGGAAACTTTTCTAGATGGAGACATTTGATTTCGTCCATTCTTGTAGTTTCTGATTTTGTAGAGCCCTTGTCAGTCATTGGGAGTCTTGACAGCAAGTCTGCGACAACGTTCTTATCGGCTGACATATACTTTATGTCAAAGTCATACCCTGACAAGACGATCGACCATTGCTGCATTCTTGCCGCAACTGTGCCTGGGATTCCCTTACTGGAATTGAAAATCGATACCAGGGGTTTGTGGTCCATCCACAGCCTAAAGTGTCATCCAAACAAATACTGGTGAAATTTGTTTACGTCTTCAACTAGGCTCAGCGCTTCTTTGTGGATCTGAGAGTAATTTTGCTCACCTTTGCTTGTTGCATAGCTCACCAATGCTTCTTGCGTAGCTCACCAATGCTTGTTGCGTAGCTCACCAATGCTTGTTGGGTAGTATGTGTCGAAGTACTGCACCAATGCCATGGCTCGATGCATCAGAGAGTTCCAGAGAAAGTGCAGGGTCATTGTGCACTGGCAGGCTCTTCTTGGTCAGTTGCTTCTTCGCTTCGTTGAAGCCTCTCTGGCGTGATCTCGATCATTCCCACCTTTTATCTTTTCGCAGCAATTCATTTAGTGGATATAGGATGTTGGCTGTGTTGCCGATAAGCTTTCCGTAGTAGCTCAGCATTCCCATAAATGCTCTCAGCTCTTTTTGTCTTTCGGCGTCTTCGCTTTTAGGGTCGCATCCGCTTTCATGGGATTTGGGTTGGATTCCGTGTTTGTCTACGACATGTCCTAGGTTTTCGATAGAGTCCTGCATGAAGCACCATTTCTGCTTTCCCAAGCGAAGGCCACTTTTTTAGTTTTTGCAGTACAATGTTTAGGTTCCGCAGGTGATGTTGATCATTCTCGCCAGTTACCACAATGTCATCCTGAAATGCACCTGTGTAAGGCAAGTTCACCTGATAGAGCCATTTGTGTGTGTTGATCAAAGTGAGATTTCTTCATTCTTCCGTTAAGGGGATATGGAAGTAGGCTTGTTTGGAGTTCAGTTTTTCAGTTCTCCTGGACCCTCAAAGATGGAACCATATTTTTGTAGCACACTTGCAAGAGTAAGGTTTCTGCACACACGGTGTGTACTTCCTCCCAGTTCACTTGAAAGTCCTCAAGCCACGCCCTTTCCAGTATGGGATGTGCCCCATTCTTCAACACTTGGATTTCATGGCGCTCGACTTGCCCGGTATACCGCATCTCTGCTTGAATCATTCCCTCTGGAATGATGGGCTTGCCGGTGTATGGCTTCAGCGTTATTTCTCAAGGTTTCAACTGGTTATCTGGAAGAATTTCGTGAAACGTCTCCAGGTTGATCACAGTCACTGGTGAGCCTGCGTCAATCTCCCTTTGAAGAGATTTGTTGCATATCTCCACAGTTACTGCGATGGGTTTCGGGAAGCTTGAGTCAATGAAATAAAACGGAGTATCGTCTCCCAAGTTCTGTGTGGTGACATGGTTGGTGAAGTTTGGTATATCCTTTCTTGTTGAATCTTGATGGTCCCTTTTCCCGTCACGGCAGACCATTGGAAGTGTCCTGTTCTCCCACACATTTTACAGGTCTTGTTCCTTGCAAAGCACTTTTCAGGGTCGTGATTGCTTTTGCCACAACGGTAACATGGGGTCCTTCTGGTGCGAGATTTTCCTTTTCCTTCACTTGCCTTTTCGGAAGTGATGTCATGTATTTCCGCCCTTGCACCAAGCGACTGACATCTTGTTGGGTCTCGGTCTTGTTTCTTACTTCTTTCGCATCCTTCATGGCTACCACCATCGAAGTGGCAAGATCCATCGCTGCCTTGAATGTCAGCGTAGATTCAGCCAGCAGCTTTTCGAAAATGTTTCTGTCCTTAATGCCATCAATGAGCTTGTCTCGAAGTCGGTCATTGAGGGAAACACCAAAGTTGCATTGCAGTGAAACTTTCCGAGCATAGCTACGTAGCCTGCAATGATTTCGGATTCAAGCCGCTTTCAGTGATGGAATTTGTAGCGTTCAACCGTTTCATCTGGTGTTAGGTTGATGTGGTTCTGTAGCAGTTGAACAATCTGTACGTATGTCTTGGTGCTTGGTATGGCAGGTGCCGCCACATTCTGTTTTAGTCCGTACATTTCTCATCCGACGATAGTAAAAATAATTATAAAGAAGGCTAGCTTTGATTACGGAATGTCGTTCGCAGCGAGGAACACTTCGAACCTTTCGATGTACGAAGACCATAATTCCCATTTCCGATCAAACTTTTGAATTTTCCCGATGCAAGGCATTCTTTAGGTTTAAGATGGGGCGTCGCTCACATCACCACTGTCTCCTTTGTTCCGATGTCGCTCAGTTGTTTATATCTAGGGTTCAGAGTTTTCGGTTTAAACCGATAAAAACCGCTAAAAGTTTGTTGAATTCAATTTCGGAAATTTGGGTTTAGCCAAAAAGGTTAGTTTGTAGGTTCGGTAGGTTTGGTTTAAACCGATAAAAACCGATAAAAGTATGTCTAATTCGCTTCCCAAAATTCGGTTTTAACCGAAAAATGACAGTTTTTTAGGGCCGCGTCGAGATGGGTGGGAAAGTGGGGGCAAGAGAGAGAAAGGGCTTTGCAAGGTTCGACATTGTGTGACGTCTTCGTGATTGCCCTCTTCCAAGATTCAACATGCAACAAATGAGGTCTTGGATTGGCCTTCGCGGGACATCTGTGTCCTTTCTGTGATCGGGCTTAGTGTGTCTAGTTCCCAGTCCTAAAAAGAAAGTTTGGATGTAAGCTAGTATAGGAGGTATTCACTAGACGCCGTATTTGAGGTAACTGCTCACAGCGCATGCCCGGGAAGAGTTTCCCGTCAGCTCTCGGGCAACCGCTCGAGAAGAGGGGAAGGAGAAGTCCTCTTATCACCAGGACTCTCCTTTGTAGGTCCCAGGCTTCCCTAAACGCCGCTATTCTCCCTTTAGAAGATTATAGAAGATTAACTTGCCACTCAAAACTCGTACAAAAGCATCTTTCCCCTCTCTCTCTTCTCCGGTGGTAAGAAAGCAGCAGCGAGCTCAGCTATGACCGCCAGTGAATACTCCCTATAAGGATTTTCGTTTCATGCACTTAAGAGAAAATCAAGGAAAACCGTTAATACCTTTCTTAATAGCATCTCTCAAACTTCTCTGTGATTAAAAACATAAATACAATGAATTTTTTTTTTTTCCCCATTCCACTGTTAGCTGTACGGTCATCACCTCAGACGGTCACGTCGTTAGAATGGGAAGGAAAAAGAAGCGTGCTGAAGATTATGCCCACGAATTCCGCGATTTTGAGGTGTGTCCTGACGGAAGTTGTAGCAAAGACCACGTATGTATATGTGCCGTTATTCTTTGAGTGATCACAAACATCACAGCTACAAGGATCACCTGATCCGGTGTCCGATTGGTTTTTTTTAATATTCACCGAAAAAAACCGGGAAAGAATTTTGGGAATAAATATACACCGAAAAAAGTAAGCCGAATTTATAAAAAATAAAAACCGATAACGTCAAACCCCATCGCATCGATCCCATTCTCGCAGACATTGTGATGTATGCAGCAGTTAATTTGGGATAATGCAAGGATATATTGATTTAAATGTTTACCGTAAAATACCGGGCAAGCGCCCACTCAAAATTTAGAGATAATCATGAAAAAATAGGGGATGGGCGCTTGTCGGTCATCAATTTTACATATCGATGTACTGTGGATATTTTCTCAGATCTCACAAATTTGGGAATGGGCGCTTAATGTGGAATGGGCAAATGCTCGGTATTCAACGGTAGGTTAAGATCGGTTGATGTATTCAGAAGAGTCTTTTCTGGTCTGCAATTGCACCCAGTCTGTGGCTTTCAGGCATCCTGTGCTTCTCAGTGGCTCCCCGCTGGGCTCTACTCTGCCGGTGTCTCCGGTTGCATCAGCCATTATTTGGGCTCAATAGGTTATGTTCACTATACATGACAAACTCGGACATAATACACGGCACTTAGGATAGATAATGTTTGTGGCATTAAAATTGGATTTCAATATCCACTTTAGTACCCCCCATGTCATGCAACTGCATCTTTTTTTTTTCCTTTTTTTTTCTTGCACTAGAATATTTCTACGTTTGAGTTTTTGTTTTGCATCAGATGCCTATTCTGCGCCAGGTGCATACTCTGCACATATAATATTCTAATTTACTTCAAAAATTTTCTTGAAAAAAAAATCACTATTCGATATTCAATTCAATATTCAATTTTTTTTCTTCATTCGATTCGCTATTCGACTAGACAACTACTACTGTAAACGACTTAATTTTCGCGAATTTTGCGAATCGCCTACAATTCGCAAAAAACATGTCCCGCAAACAATTCGGGCAATATGTGAACGCTACGGAAGCTACACTCGATTCGCAAAAATTAGAACCCGCGAATAATTTCTAACTTCCAGCTTTGGCCCGATTCGCGTAAATTTGAACCCGCAAAAATTAAGTTGTTTACAGTATTCGTTATTTGCACAACCCTAAAAATCTGCCGAAAATAAGAAGTAAATGAAATTTCAATGTGTAATCAAAAAGGAAAAATTGAAAAGTGCTAGTTTAGGGTTCTGTGGGCTGTGAAGCTTGTGATCGCAGGGAGGAGCAATGAACCAAAGTCGACTGTTATTCCCAGGCCGCAATGTTCGCTTAACTCCTGCCTTGACCAAGTATAACCCCATTTCTACCGAGGTCAACATTGACCGGGGCCCTGCAATTTACTAGGAGTAAGCTATCTTTTGATGTTACCGAAAAAATTAAAAATCATGCCAAAGATATGGGTGGGTTATCTTTGGATGTTGCAAAGGCCTCAGAAAATATTGTAAACCCAAACGAGAAAATGTGGGACGCAATAAGTTTGGAAGCTGGCCCCAAAAGCCTAGACACTTTGTGACTTGCACTTACCTTGAGTATGTGAGGATCACGTCACCATGAAGAATTTTTTTCTGTGCCTCATATGTAATTTGCTTTTTTGCAAGGCACAGCTCTTCATAGATAAATTTATCAATTGACTCAACGAGCTTCTCCTTGACCTGGATTGCAAAACCAAGTTAAATAGCCTACTGTTAGTCCTATTACCAAGCAATGTTTTTAATTCACTATCTCAAGGGCAACAGGCAATTGTATAATTGTGACAAAAAACAAATTTCACTAATTAAGCTGGTGCCCCTTTCCCATGCAATATTAGTTTTGATAACAATCCTTAATCCTAAAGGAAAAAAGACAACAAAGCTGCTATCACTTGTTAGTGCTAACTACGGCACTCTGTAGACCTCATGAGCTGAATAGACTAAGGGCACATGTCTGAAAGATGATTCTGTGCCAACCACGTGTCAGCTATTGTCAAAATGCGAGAGACAAATATTCTTGAAGGAAATGCCTTAAGCCCTAAATATATATATGTAAAAAAAAAACCTTGTTTTTGTGGCATGCAGGTGAAGTTGATTTTAACACTCAAATGCCTGACACGGAAAATGAAAGATAAAATTAATAAAGCCACGAAGCAAGAGATTGTGCCATACCTTCTCGGCGGCCTCGGTGTCTTGTATTTCCGAGATTTGCCCCTTGAGGAAAGTGATTGCGTTTTGCATGCTCACACTTAAAGGTCTGCATTTCTTGAGAAACCTGAAAGACAGAAAAAAATATGAATTGAAAACTATCCCAACAAACAAGGCCTTGTAAACAAAGAACCCCTGCTAAGGCACATGTCAACAATTAGGTTCCTTCCAGTTGATGTTTAATTCACACTCAATATTAATGCCATCAAAAACATTTATATTGGATTATTAGACTGGGAGAAGGAGAAAGAAAGTGCCAACATAACACCCTGAACACAAACGAAACATCGAGTATATTTACAATGTAGCGCAAAGACAAAACAGGAAGGAGTGAGCAGCATTCTTTCCTATCTCTGTCTCCTTCCTGTTTTGTCTTTGAGCTACATTGTAAATAGACAAAACCAACTAGCCCAACAGTTCATTTTGATGCAACATACAGTAGGCTTGCGATAATTCAAACTTGGATATTTAATACTTCTGGTTAATTCAAACAAATTAAAAAATTTTAGTTGTACTACAATGTTTTTGATGTATTCATAAGCCACTTAATTCAAACAGCATTTTTGTGTAATTCATACTTTTTGTTCATGCGACCCTGTTGAGTGCGCTTCTCTCCGAGCATTGGTGCACTGCAGAAAGGCAACACCCGCAAAGCTTGTTTATGCTTACCCGGGTGTTGCTTATCCGCAGTGCACCGGTGCTCGATGAAAAGCGCACTCAAAGGGGATTAAGCAGGGCACCATGAGCCATAAAAACGGGCACCAAGCGGAAACTTTCATAGCAATTTTGCACGGACGCTCTATGTGGCAACATGGCATAAGTCTATGTCGCAGCGTCCGCGCACGTTTCTATGAAAACAGCCGCGTGGTGCCTGTTTTCATCGCTCCTGTGTCCCCTGCTTAAAGGGCAACTCCACTCAATTCCGAAAATGTCAGGATAATGAGTGATTTCACATTAAAAAGCACTAATAAAAGGCAGTACATTATTTTCTTCGCAAAAAATGGGATATATATGGTTAAATTTTACTTTAAACATGAGCAGAGAAAGAAACCGAAACTTTGGCTCCATCCGGCAACATTGGCCTCGGGCCACCAAAAACATGGCTATTACGTGGTATGAGATGCCATGCGACCCGCTATGCGGTGGGCTACTGTTGGGGCGTGCGTGTGCCAGGCGCAAGTGTCGTCTGCACTGCACTCTTCACGTTTTTGTGTCTACAACATTCGACGACATCTGTACAACTGCACAACGTTTGCGCATATAGTGTGAAACTCCGAGAGACAATAATCACAAACGGTGAAAAGACGATGGCGGTTGTGACACGGGAGACGGCAGTGACGATAGGGCGGCCCGACGGCTCCCAAGAAGCGCGCAGCATAGGCGCGTTACGCCAATGGCGTGAACACCGCTGAGTGCCCAGAGGAAGTGTTGCTGACGTCACCCGCTACGAGTGCACGGAGAAGTAAAAACAAACTAAAAAAATTATGAGCCATTTCACTATGTGAAGGTAGATGGCCTGCGAAGCTGTTTAGCACACGACAGACCTGCCCCAAGAAGCCGGAGGAAAGTCGACACGCGCGACCGGACCACCACCCTGGGAGAGGGAACGAAAAGGAAACTAGGCACGCAAGCGCTTGGAACGACGACAAAGAGAGGGCAGTACGAGAGGAGACATAACCGACGCGGGTGGCAAAGCAGCAGATCTTTGAGAAACCTTTATTATCTACCTGAGTCTACTGATATTGAAAATGGTGCCTATTGATAACTAATCTACTGAACAGTCCAATTGCTAAATTATTTAAGCATCAAGAAGAATGCAGGGAATGGTATTCCACGTGCTGCACAACTGGTGTCTGCAGCAGTAACTGTTTTGAAGCAAAAGCCTAAAGCAAATGGCATCCTGAACGTGCATTCGTCAATGCTTTATTTTGATTATTTACTTCAAATCTCTTATTCAGGGAAGGCGTGCATGTGCGGTGCGTGTGGCGGTGCGAGCGTAGAGTTTTTTGGCACTGCACATGAAAAATCTACGGAACCCTAGCCATAAACAGCTTCGCTGTAAAAAAAGCAATGGCGATCACGTTTAGCTCAATGTTGGTTTCGCCAATGCCGTAGCCTTAACTGCGCTGTTTGGGTGCGCCTAAATTCACACACTAGAGTCAGCCGATTTCGGCAACTTGGCATGTTGCAAAGTTTGCCGAACCGTTTAAGAAACATTTAGACAGAACTAGGTCATAATATTTGTCATACTATAGGTGTTACTAAAGAGGACTGCATTGTTTTTTTAAAAACAAAAATGAAGCGGAGTTGTTCTTTAATAGGTAGTTTACATTAAACAACTTCGTAGCCCAATGAACAATCTTGATTTTTGTTTGGACTTGTCATGTTTTGTCTACACAGTCCACGATCAACAACATTTTTGAGGGATAAATAAACTTATGTTATACATTTCATAATTGTTTCTTGTGTGGCATACCAGCTTATGATTAATAGGCCTCTGTTGAGGAAATCATCAAATATCTGGTTTGTATCTGTATATGGCAAATTCTAATTTTATCTTGCATCATATTTAGGTGAATTTCGGATAATTCTGAGTTGGAATTAATGACAGTCTAGAGTATTGAACAAAGCATTGTTCACTTACTAACATAAGAGAATTCCTTTAAACAAAATATAAATAGAGGTGTGCAAAAGTTCAAAAGTTTGGATAAATCATTAATGGTGTTTGTTGTTCCACTTGATTCACAGCACACTTTGACTGTTCCAAGTAGTTAAATTTTTAGAATATTGTAATATGATGAATAATGTCTTGAGAATTCCTCTCTTTTTTGTGTCAAACCCTACAGTTTTGCACTGGTGCAAAGCAGGGAAGCTTCACCGCTTTGCTTCGGCACGCGCACCTCAAACTTCATTGCTTTGCATCTGTGTTCGTTCTAGGAGAGACGGCTGACATGTCAGAACTAAAGCCCCTTCATAAAATTTATGCTTCGTAGCCCCTTGATAAAATTTATGCTTCGTGTTTCTTCCAAGAGCCGACAACCATTGCTGCGTGAACACGCAAAATATTTGGCTCGAGCCGGTGCTATGTTGCCATTTGTTTCTGAGGGCTGCTCGTTTTTTGTTTCTACTTGCAAGACGAACACAATCACACCAGGGGGCTTTAGTCAGAACATCTCGGCAGGCTCGATGGTATTAGAGATTTTGCTCATTCTTGCAGGTAACCCTTTGGTTATGATCACAGTTCTACTCCCAATTTTAAAACAGAGTATCTCAAAGTAAAATATTAAGCTATATTAATATCTCAAAGTAAAATATTAAGCTATATTAATATCTCAAAGTAAAATATTAAGCTATATTAACATCTCAAAGTAAAATATTAAGCTATATTAAAACAGATAAGTTATTCATTGCTTTGCTTTCCCCGTTACATTTTGTTTTACCCAATTCGTCTAGCGTTTCTAATGTAATAATCTGTTCCATTTCATAGGTATGCTTCCTGGAAAAGATTTCCAGCTGGCATTTATTAAAGCACTCAGGCTCAATTCCCCCCATGAAATGTAAAATATCTGCATCATAAAATATTTGAATTCAATTTACAGCCAGACTTCAACATACATATTTGATTCACACTCAAGCATTTGATATTTGCACACTCTAAACATAACACATACAGAACGGTAACCCGGGCACTAGATATTAACAAACAGGACCAGAAATGGGGAAAAACAAAAAAGTTACAGAGGCAATACAGCACATTTTTCATGAAACATGTAAAGATAGATTAAACATAATGAGATAAGAGTAAAGCTATATGCACTACACCGTGCATCTCGACCGGAAATGGCTATACGCACTACGCGGAGAGCTTATGCCAATTCGGTCACCCTTTTCGGACGGCGCGTGTATCACTGGTGAGCGCACTAACCCACCCCTCCCCGCCTGCATTCATGCCGCTTTGGGGCGACAGTGTACGGCTGCTGAGTACAATACTTAACCCGAACACGCCGCTTCACGGCATCCAGCCGGCAACCGGAGCCCCGCTGTCCCCAATTGCACCTCCGGAAAGGGAGTCCCATACCATTTAGTTCGCAAAGCTCCGTAAACAACATTTTTTTTAGATCATTTTTTAATGTTAATTGTAAAAATGAAATGTCGTAAATATTGCCAAATGCTCAACAAAAAAAAAATGTTCTAGAAAAAAAAAAAGTATGCCCACACTGGGGATGGAATCAGGGTCTGTTTCGTATGAAGCAGACACCTTACCACTATGCTATGCCACCACTTCGGGAACTCTTAGTAACCATTTGTTTTATTCGAGTTTTGCGTAGCGCGTATAGCCATTTCCAGTCGAGGTGCACGACGAAGTGCGTATAGCTTTACTCATGAGATAAAACAGTGCAAAAAAGGACTAAAGGAAGCGACAAACCGGGCAGGACAGAGCGCTGACTCGCAACTATGTACTTTTACAAATAGAAAAGGAGAAAGAAAACACATTGTTCCACACATTCACATGCACATCTTCTGTCCATGATACCTACGTATTACGGGACGCGCTGGAACTTCATTGTCAGTTTCAGGAATTCCAGCTGCTTACTAGACAATGCCACAAACGCTGCACCAGACTTGTGCCTATCTCAAATACTCTACTGAAAATCCTGTATTTCAAATAGTTTTTGAAGTATCTTGGTATCTTGCAAATACTTTTGATTGAGTATTTGATATTTTAATTGCATTTCTGAGTATCTTGTACTCATTATCTAAAATACATTAATGACATTTCGCCATTTTCCGAGTTTTTCGGTACGAAGTGGCGTGGGCGTGGCACGAGCAAATGTGAACATTATTTCGAGTAACCAAATCCGATTAGCTACGGTGACTTTGATTGAGCTCATGAAAACATTGCTTTTTTTGCCGATTGTGACTCATATTTAAGTCCAAAGTTTGTACAATGATGGCGTTCCCCCCCCTTTCTCAAAGGCGCCTTTTGTTTTCTAGACTTTCCCCCCAAAAATTCTCTAACAAAAGAAATGGTTTTACGAAAGTAAAAATTGCCACACTGAGGCACAA